AGGAAATGCAATGGAGGTTCGAATCTAAGCGAGTGAACCAACATCCACACAGGAGGTCCAAAACTGGTCTATCAAAAAATATCATCAACGAAGAAGATATGGGATTTCGAGAACCGCCTGAAATGGCAGCCACGTCCCTCCCGTTGGAGATGGAATTTTAGATCTGGGGATTCCCCAATGCTAAGCCGGAGATGTCCTCGCATCCCGGTTGCTGCCACTCTCCATAGCAGAAGCTTCCCACCCGTTCTCAAGTTGCAGCTCGGTCCGCCGCCCGTTGCAGCTCGCTCCACCTCCGTCACACGCCTGCTGCGTCGCATCTGGTCGCCTTTGCGGCTCAACGGTAGGAGCCTGAACCATGACTGGGGATTGACCCTAAATATCCACCATTAATGGACTCTAAGAGCTCCAGGTATGAGAGATCGTGGACCAGTGCACCCCTGTCAGTCACCGCTTGAGGAAGCTCCGCCGGTGCTGCTGGAGTCCTAGCGACCTCGCCCAGCCGCAGGTGCTGCCTGATGAAGCTTTGTCATATCCAACCTCAGTGATGCAAGTGGGCAGCCTTGCGCCCTTCTGGCCGACAGACTTCCGCCGGAGAAGGGGGTCTTTTGGCCGTCATGTAGGCTTTGCACAGGGTGTTAGGAGAGCTGCTCACTTTGCTCGGTTGGTGTTTGAGCTTCGAGTGCATATGGGCCAAACCCATCTGAATTGATTTTTCAATTGGACCGAGCTTCCAAACAACAGAAAAGCTAAGTATACTCCTCAGTTTTACATTGTTAAATTATAAAAAAAAATCATAAATTGAAATATTTGAAAAGATATTTTAAGTGATGTGATTGCTTTTACTCTTGTTCACTGTGTGTAATTTTAACATTGAACAACGGACTTATGAAATCTGATCACTCAAGTACGCCGGACGAGCACACACACTCGTACATTGGCCGAGCACACACACTCGCGCCACCGGGTCACGTCATATGAGTGTGACGATTAATAAGCTCCCAATATAAATGTTAATACCGCACACTCTTGACTTCATACGAGTTCTTGCGTGCTCTTACCTTTTCCTAGTGCATCACACTCCACCTCGGGGGGACGACTCACCCGTTCAAAAGTTTTCAACTTGCGGGTTCGAACTACTAACCTCGGACGGCGAGTTAATCTCTTGTTAAGGGCCTAGAGTCACTCTCTTTAAAGCAATTTTTTCACTTAATTTACATTCACATTTACCAAAATGACTGATATACTTTAGTTCTTTGGGGTTGGATTATCCATTCGAGTGAGGAGTCTGACTCACTTACTCGCGAATTCAATCTTTCTTTCGGAGACGGAGTTGAGGCCTAACTTGGGAACTTGATGTCACTTTTTTCAAGTAGTGAGCCCGACTCACTTACACACTGAGCCGTGGTTCAACATCAGGCCAGATGCTCTATTCTACACTAGTTTCTTTTATGTGTAGGTACAAGTGAATGAAGTGGAGAACTGAGGGTCTTACCGTCTTCAAGGAAGCGAATGACAAACCTGACGAGTCTGAGTCCGACGAGAAGAACAGTTCTAGCCATCCTATTCGCAGATGGCGACCATTGCAATAAAGTGTGAGGATCTCACCTCTTGCTTCATGCATCTTGGGGGCGTCAGATGTACTCTTTTTTCCTTCATTAGGATTTTTTCCCGTTAGGTTTTTTCCTAATGAAGGTTTTTAATGAGGCATCTCCCCAACACGGATAAGGGCGGAGATCTTCTAGTCTCGGAGAAGAGCAACTGACTTGGACTACTCCCTGTTAGCCGAGTCTATTACTCGTCTAAGGGAGTGGGGGACTCGTGATGGAGTAATGGGACTAAGCCCAGAGCCTAATCAGCCCAAGTCCCGAACTTGGACCCATGGATCCAAGTCCACAACCTGGAGTCTGCCTGCCAGCCCAGCGGGAAGTTCTCCTATTTGGGGAATTCTCCACGTCCAATAAGGTTGAATCCCCAACCCCAAGAGCCTATTTTGGGGAATTCTCTCTTCTATTTACAGCCACTTGTTTACTAGGTACACCCATATGTTTTTCTAATAAATAAAAGTGTTTTTATAATTCTCAATACACCCTTTTATGTAAAACACCAGACCCACGGAGATTAAAATTTATGTGCAGAGAGAGATTAAACGATGTAAGAAGGTAAGGTAAGGTAAGGGAGCATTATCTCCCTGTAGTGAGTAATCTTTGGGCAGGATGCTCCTTTTAGAGTTGTGTTTTGCCTACTTTATAGTTATTGGCTGGTATTTCATGAGTTCTTGTCAAGAACAAAAGGGGAAGGCCGGCATCTAGCGGCGGATCTATGGTTCAATCTATGGGTGTTCATTTATTTTCTATAATTAAAATTTGAAAAGAAGATAAATAATTAAACTAAATTCATACATTTATATTAGCGTATTTATTAAAATTCTAAGTTTTCATGTGAACACCTTTGAACCAATGTGGCTCCGCCAATGCCGGCATCCGCCTCACTTCTTCCGGGATTTGACATCACGAGCAAGATAAATTTCTCTCGATGAAATTTCATACCCAAAGCCACCAAACTACGGGATGCAGAGTATAATATTGAAATCGACAAGGGTACAACCATCTTCTAATTGTCTCCTAGCAGAGTATAATGTTGAAATTTTCCCTGTCTTGAATCTTAAACCAGACATTGCCGATTGTGTACTCAACCTCAAAATTGATTATCTTCCCCGTGAAGATTTTATCGAACTTTTGTTTCAGGCCTATGTCAAACGTTGGTCATATGCACTAAGGGTAATTTGGACTTTTAAAATACTTTTATTCATTTATATTTAATTTAGGGAAAATTGTCAAATAGGTCCTCGAACTTTCATAAAAAAGTCAATTAAGTCCTTCTATAGGAGACTCTGTCCGGTCGTCGCGATTTGGGAGGTTCCCGGTGGAATTTTTTGATGAAATTTTTTGAACATCTTATTCATCAAGTCTAGTTTACTCATACCAAATTTCAGCTAAAAATTTAATCGGGAGTGCATTCAAATTAATTCGAGAACGCAAAAATGCGCAGTTATCTTCACGAATTAATTTGAATGTGTTTTCGATTGAATATTTAGCTGAAATTTGGCATGAGTAAACTAGACTTGGTGAATAAGATGCTCAAAAATTTTCATCAAAAAATTCCAACAGGATCTGCCCCAAATTACGACGGCCAAACAGAACCTCCTACAGAAGGACTTAATTGACCTTTTTATGAAAATTCGAGGATCTATTTGACAATTTTCTCTTTAATTTAAAGACCATAAATAGTAATTTGAGGGTTGGGAATAGAAACGTCCCTTCAAAAATGCAATAAAAGAATGGGAACAAGACCGTTTCAATCCAAAAACTGAAATATAGATTTTGGGTCTCGATAATTTTTTTAGGACTAGCCCATCCGGGACTGGAAGTGGTCCAGGCTAGGATGACGAAGAATATGGAATACGTCCAGGGGGTATTGTACTAATGTGTACAATTGTTATTCATGGAAGGCTGAAACTATTTTTAAAAAATGAAAAGAATATATGAAAATAAATTAAAATAATACTAGTAAGATGTACTTCGTTTGTCCCATAAAACTTGACCAATGTTGACTTCCACGTAAATTAATAAAGTAAAAATTCAGTGATTAATATTTGTGCAAAGAGGGGAGAAATAACTTTAACCACATATTTATTACTTTAAATGGTATTAGTAAAATTTTTTAGGACGACCAAAAATGAAAATTGTATAACCTGGACATCAACTAAGCGCCAAATGTCACATGAATGGACATATGTAGCCAGATGGATGCCACGAAAGCACTTTAATCCGGAAACCATTAGTGATGGACCCGGGCCGGTCCGGTTTCGGACCAGGCCCGGGCGGGCTTTTTTTGCAAATCCTTGGGCCCGGAACCGGCCCGGGTTGATACCGGGTCCAGGCCTAACCGAGCCGGGCCAGGCCCGGTTCAATGTATTTATTTTTTTTGCTTTCTTGTTATCCCCCAACCCCCCCCCCCCCCTCACCCCGACCCCCCAAACCTCCCCAAAACACCCAACCCTACCCTAGGAAAAGAAAAAAATTGAAAACACAAAATAAAAAATGACCCAGGCCCGGCCCGAACCGCCCGGGCCGGTTCACCCAAACCTAGGCCCAAGCCCGGCCCGCCTTACCCGCCCAAACGGGCTAAAATCCTGGAACCGGCCAACCGGTCCCGGTCCGGTCCGGGCCCGCACAGTAGCGGACCAGTTCCGGGCCGGCCCGGTTTAGTCCATCCCTAGAAACCATTCATTCAGTGATTCACCTGCTACATACATAGCGTATTATGCGACTTAGCATGAACACTTGATTGAATATTTGACAATTTTCTATACTTTAAATATATCTTACATTTGCAAAATATTTTACATTTCAAATAAACAATGCGTTTACTTTATTTGTACATTTGTAATAAACATCTCTAATACGAAGTATAATGATAATAAAATATAATAATTGAAAATACACATTTAGCATACAATGATACACTACTAAATGAAAAAAACATTGGGACCAGAATACCGGAACCAACCAAGGAAGCCAGGGGAAGTTCGCCCGCTCCCCACATATGGTGGACTGCACAATACGTGAACCGGACCGGTCCACCCCTGCTCATATATTTTTGCAGTTCTACTATGTAATACTCAAAGACACTGTTCACTCAATGCTGCAGTACTCATATGAGGGTCTTCTCAGAAACAATCTCTCTATCGGTCACTAAGATATAAAGATCTCCAACCCCGGGTTGCGAAGATATAATTTGTATATTTGGATTAGTAAAGTATCTATTGGATTAGGAATGATACAGAAGAAGCTTACGATATTAAATCATCTAAAATATGATTGTCTTAAATCACGTGATGAAGCATGGGGTTCTTGACATCCAATGTTCTCTACGAGGATTCCAATTATAGGATCAATGAATAATGTAGGCGAGAGATCTAAATAAGATAAACTCATGAAGGGTAGCACTATATGTGTCCAAGAAACCTCAATAAGTCAATATCCATTGAAGAAACAGAAACTTTTTATCTAAAAAGCAGAAAATCAAGTATGAAGGCCTTATATGAACTAAAGCCATAATTCATTTTTTGACAAAGGCAGTCGATGAAATCTATACAACAACAACAACAACAAAATAATGACAATGACCATCAACAATCTAGAAATATTCCCAACAATACAAAGTTTACCTGATTGTCACAAATTTGTTAGTACCATGCTTAGCCCAATGAGACCTAAGATCAATAGGGTCGGTAAAATTATAGCCTTCAGAATCAAGTTTCTCTAAGACCTTTTTAAATGCACCTAGACTCATCTTCCGTCCCGCAATCCTGGCCCCACGCCTTTTGTCACTCATTGGCAAAGGATACATTGATATAGTCGTGGTACAGCATGCTGACTGCCAGCCGCCACATCCCCAACGATAACATTGCTGAAGGGTTCCAGTACAAGAACAAACTGGTGTAGGGATTTTACTTATGTCCATATCGATCCCTCCTATTACAACATCCACGCTCTTCATTGCGGGTCTTTCCCGTTTACTTGGGGGTTTGTCATTCTTTGCTTTCTTTGACTTTTTTGCTTTAAGCCCTGAGGATGCAACACCCGGCCTCTTCTTGGAACAACAGCTATCTTCATAAACACATGCACGATCCTCAACAGTAGCAGGTTCCTCCTTGATTGAATCAGCTTCCAGTAATTCAACGGAGGTCTGAGTTGTTCCAGAAGGATCGCTATAATGATGGCCGGTGAACATATCTAAGAATTTGTCTCTATGGTTTATCCAACCCTCTCGAATATAGTCTATGTGTGTTATGGGAACATGAGAGACAATCGAGTCCCTTGGATGATAAAGCCCATTACTAACTATCATATTGGGATTATTATCACTGCCGGGAAGGAAGGGTTTTGTGTCAAGGTCAATTGGAGATGACATAAGCTGGAGACCGAGATGCCCCTTATTTGAAGGTTCATAGTAACCCCAATTCCTCAGGTTTAACCCATCATCATCCATCTAGAGCTACATCAGATTAAGAGTTCAGATCCCAAGCATTACATTGCACCAAAGAACAGAACAAGAAATTCAACTTAACAGTAAATATTCTGGAATTCAGACTGTAAAATAATACTTTTTGAGCAAAAGACTAAATCTTGAACAAAAATCAGCAGTTAATTAAGGGCCTTTCAACACGCAAAGACAACAATCTCCATTTTATTTTAGATCCCAATTTCAATCAAATCTGATACAGATCAAAAAGCACACAGATCATGGATAAGGACGAGGCAAATTAAAAATAAAGAACGGCCATGGAAGAAGAAAATCAGTAAACCAAATACACAATATTAGAATCTCCGTTGCTTTAGATCTAGATATCGGAAAAACGAAATTAGAAAAGAAGCATATGCTCCGTACAAATCATGATAAGGAGGAAGCTACAGGATAATTACGGAAATATAAAGACAGAGAGATGACCATATTTTCAAAAGAGAAAACTTACTTGTGTGAACAGATCTCTTTAGGGTTCTTTTTTGTTGTCCCGGGAAGAGAGAGGAGAGAGAAGACAGGGAGGAGAGAGAGTCCCTAAGCTAAAGATCGAACCCTTTTAATCCTGTCTGTTCCTGAATATGACACTCGGCACTAATAATATGGAGAGACGGGGCAGGACCTTAATTAATTAAAACTAAAAATACTCCGTCCCTATACGGTGCAATCGGTGCATTGTGAGCACCATGCTCCCATGATTATATGAAATGTTACTCGTGTGATTCTATATGTAATTTCAAGTTAATCAAAATGTAAATTACACTCATTCACATGTAACTCGTTGAAATTTAAACTGTTTTAATTGAAATGTAACTTGTCCAGAACAAAATATAAGGAGTAAAACATTGATTTCAATGTAAATAATGAAGAAAAGGAAGTCTAATTATCCAATTATTTTACATAAATAGTTTATATATTTTGTTTTTTATGTCAGAGCTATAAATATGATTTTTTATAAAAATAATTTTTCTTTGAATAGCGGGGGCTTATTGTGTTGTGTAACTCGCATTATATTGTGGTGTAACTCGCATTATAAAAAATGTAAATCACGTGTAAGTGAATGTAACTGGTTAACAAAAATTAACACGTAACTCACACTTATAGATATGTAACTTTAAGCGAATCTTAATGTAACTTGAGCATGCACAAGATGTAAATTGAGAAAGGTCTAAACTAATTCATGGTAGTCATCTTCAACATGTAAATTGTGCAAGAAAAATTTCAGTTGAGTTCTTAAAAGTTAATTTGAGAAAAATTCCAAGGTCTAAACTAGATGAAGTGCGCACAAATCGATTTTCTGTTTCGTTGTTATCTCGCAAGACACAAATCGAGCCTCTTAATGAATAATCAATTCGAAGTGCGCACAACAATATCAGGCTCAGAAGTTTATGGGAACAGAGCATAGCTTGGATGGACTGCCGGGACAAGATTGACACTTCAAATCAGCCATCAAGGCTGCACGCCGCTGCCTCGAGGATGAGCAGTTGCACAGCCGCCTCAACGATGAGCAGTTGCACCACCGCCTCGACGATGAGCAGTTGCACCGCCGCTACTTCCTCGCCGGCGAGTGTCATGACCAACTTCCGATGCTCTTTCTCAAGACGGAACGAGGTGAGCCAGATGGCAGTGGCAGGTGGCCAGGGGGCGGGGAAAGTGTTGTTGGTTTAGGCGCATGTGGTAGGGGAGGGAACGACCGTGATACTATGTCGTTTTGGACCGGGCACACCATCCTCATGGTGCGCCGGTCGTAGGATATAATTTACGAAAAACACTTAGTTTGAGAAAAAATTGCACGTAACAATGAACAAAAAATCAGGATAGTGGGAAGTGTTTCATTTGTTGCTCCTCAATCTTATAAAACTGGACAATAATGTTGTTCTAGTGGTGTACAAAAACTCCTCCGTAGGCTCTCATATTAAAATCTTCTTCTCAACTCAATGTTTTATTATTAATGTTGGATTAATAGGCTCGATAGCAGGTCGGTCCATTGCCCAATAAACATGGGGACCATCAAGGCCCATGTTGGGTACGGTCCAGCAAAAGAACTTGGCAGACACTCATCGGATGGACCAAGGGGAAGACGACGCTCGTTCTATGAGTCTAGGACCTAACAAGGGTCAGATAATATTTCGGGATCCTCGGCTGCAGCACATGCCGGCTGTACATATCCTCTTCCTTGCGGGATTCTAGGCCCAATCTGGCCATGGTCCACCAGGATGCCGTCAAGACGCTCGGCCTTAGCAGCCTTTGCCCAACAAGTGCCAGAAACAATCTAGGGCCCTCGGCCAGAGAGTTGGCATGAGCTGCACGGAGCCCAACCCTTGTACCTCCAGATCCAGGAGCTTAGATCAAGGGACGCTCGATATTGGCGGGAAACCAAGATATTGGCGGGAAGTGCATTTAATGCAGTGGGTTTGGTGGTTGGGAAACTAACCACCCACAATCCTCCACATCAGCAACACTACCTATCCCTTGGTAGTATAAATAGTAGCATTTATTTCATTGTAAGAGGTTGGCAACTTATTACTCTTAGCGAATAACAATTATCTTAAGCTATTAGCATTGAGATAGACGAACGGCCTCAGGGCTAGTACTTGAATTGTGTTGTATATGGACCCTTATTATCATTTAATAAGATACAGCCCACTTGCAACTGAATATCTGATATATCTTTGCTTGTTTACATTCTAATCCACCAAACTCACCACTCAAAACTCAAGGGTAACGTGTTGGGCCCTTGGGTTGAAGGAATAAATCTCAACACTGGTACCGTCTGTGGGAAGCTGATCAAAAAGTTTTTCCAAAAAACAAGCTCTTACCAAGAAGCGGACCTTACGAACCTTACAAACAAGCAAGATGCAAAGAAACAATTATGGACACATTCATGACCTCTACGAATGACTGACAAACAACAGGAGGACTCACACCCAGGCATCGGGTGGCCATTCCAGCAGCATGTGAAGCCGCAGAGATTTTGGGGAGCTCACCAATATGATTCCCCTGGAAGTCAGAAGGGACCCTCGCGCCATGAGGGAGCTCACGGATACCATGAGACGCAAGGCAAACGAATAGGAAGTGGAGCGCGTGTACTCGGCGGAGACCGAGTGTACGCCGTTTTCCCCCATCCGCTCCATGCAGTCGCTCGGCGAACAAACAGGTGAGATTGTGGGATCTCGCACGTCGGTCCACACTCGGATCGCCGGAACCCCCCACTCCCCAGATATAAGAGGATATGAAGGAACAAAGCCCCTCAGAGGAGGACAACACAACGCGGCCTGAAACTGCACCCCGATGATGCCACTTAACAGTCACCGGGACAGGGAGCCAACTCCCGCGATAAACAATGTGGGATCTTGGTTCCACTACGTAGGTGGGATAGGCGCCCGCTTCATTCATAGGTATCAAGGCACAGGTGTTGTACGCACACAGGTTGCTTTGGAGGTGGTTAACCCCGCGGCTCCAGTCACCGATCCGCGGGATGAAATGCTTGTTGGCCTCCAGAGGCAGATCGATGAGCTGAACCGCCGGTGGAGAACAACACGGCGTAGTCCAGAATCGCGCTCACCTCCTTTTTTTCTTGAAGAATCATAGCTGCGGAGATCCCTCGGGACTGTAGGCCACCAGGCGCTCTGCTCTACAATGGATTCGGAGATCCGAAGGCCCACCTACTCTCTTTCCTGGGTGGACTCTCCATGATGGGAGCATCTGATGTAGCCATCTGCAGGCTGTTCTTTAGCACCCTTCGAGGGCCAACACAGGAATGGTTCGGGCAGCTCTGGCCCTGGACCATAGACAGTTCCGATCAACTGTCGAGCACCACCCCGAAGAAGCACTTTAGCTCGCTAACGAGCATACGCCAGGAGAACGGGGAGTCCCTCTCTGCAATCCTTTTCCGGTGGAGGGATGAAACTTTGAAGGTCGAGGACCTTACGGAGTGCACCAACATCACCCTCTTCATGAACGCCTTAGCAACCGGGGATCTATACAGAGATTTGAAGAGGAACCCGGAGAGCAATTATGCTGAAGTGCTGGTCCGAGCGCAGAAATATGCTGCTATTGAAGAGGAGATCGCCCAACGGGGCAGGACGTCAGCCTGCCGCCTCCATCCCGCACCTGCCCCTCCTCACCACGAGTCCAGAACCCTTCCTAGCCCACAATCAGTCCTCCCAGCCCCCAACTAACCCCAACCCCGACCCTGCAACCTCCCCAGCTGGCCAACCCCCATCAGTCCTCCACAGCCCACCACTAGCCCTAGCCCTAACCCAGCCACCTCCACAGCCCCAACCCCGACCTCAACTGAGTATGCACTTGCAATGGTGCCACTGCCCAACCACCATCTCCACAGCACAAGCCCCACCCACGCCGCCACTATCCTTCTTCAGTACCTCCACCGCCCCCTCACGCTCTTCCCTACACTTGTTCCGCACCTTTCCTCACCACACAAAACCTAATTTTGCGCCGTCGTTGTCCCGATAAAAAAAACCTAGCAATCAGCACTCATCGACGATGAATGCCATCTGGTATCCCCAATCACCGCTGTTGCCTTTAGAAAGGGAACAAAAAGAAGCGAGTTAGGACGACGCTAACGACCAGGGAGACGACGGCAACAAAACCACCACTGCTCTATTTTCAGCGTGAGGGAGATGGCCACTGAAGCTGAGGAGCAACGGTGATAATCGTGTAATTTCCATTTGTATGTTTACATTTTTAATTAGTTTTGATTGATTGTTACTTTAGAAATTACACGCTTTTGGTGTAATAGTTTAGTTTGTAAAATATTTGTAATTTGTTTAGATTAGGTTTATTCTGAGCTTAAATAGGTCCATGATCACTTAAGGGACCATTGGTGAATCCCAAAAGTGGAAGGAAGGTGCAAACAAGCAAGACAAAAAGAGAAGATTGCGATTTTGGGTTGTACCCGGTCGGGTATGACCTATACCCGATCAGATACCTACTTGTTTTGCAAATCAGATCGGATCCTGGAACAAAGGAACATGCAGTGATGCATGGGATATTTTGACCACGATCGAGTGTCCATACCCGATCGGGTAATCGACATACCCAGTCGGGTATGTCCCACTTTTCCAGCTTCCGGGAAGCCACTGAAGGTACCCGATCGGATGCCCTTGATGCCGGATCGGGTACACATCCCTATATGCTCCATATTCCCTATAAATATACCCCTTCTGTTCACACTAAAAGGACAAATTCACATATACTTCTATGCTCAGTCTAGGTAAGTTCTTTCTTTATATTTTCATCATGTTTAGTCTCCAAATGAGGAGCTAAACTCTTCCATCTTAGTTTTGTTACTTTGAAGTTTAATGAATTGTAAGTTGTGAGTTATTTTCTTTAATCTTCTTCCTTGAATATTAATTGATTCCTATTCATATTTCATATTAATATTTTGAGCATTACTTAAAGGATCAACTAGTTTTGTTTCATATATTGATTATTAGTAGAATCAATCGATTAATACGCTTGTTATTAATTCGGTTCTTTCAACGGTAGGAAACTTGGATTATTAATGCATGCATCTCATGGTTAATAATCTAAGGGGAATTAATTATA